TTGCAAGGTCATCTACAGTAAATTGTCATTCTGGCTCTTACAACATTTCACCATTCCTGCAGATCTATTTATATCACAGAGTGGGATATCTAATAAAAAAAAGTGATGGAAAGAAAAAGAAAAAGACTCTAAATGAATTCAGCTTGATAAAAAAAAAATTCTAAACTCCCCAGCACCCCTTGTTCATGCACATGTGTAGATGTGCCAACATAACAAATTTAGTACGATGAAAGGAAGAAATGCATCAATAGTAAACTTTTCCATTTTGTATTATATATATATATATATATATATATATAAAAGAAATATGCATAATATCTTACATTAATTGCACAAATCCAAGTTTCATGCAGAAGCAATTTTCAAGGGCTGAAATTATTATATTTATTTTTATTTATATTTTGGTTCACCACTGCTGTGGCCTGGTATTGAACTCACAACTCTTTAGATCTAGTCACCGGATCTAACCAATGTCTTTATCCAAAGACACATGGCCAGTGAATAAAGACGTTGGTTCAATACCAGGTCACAGCAGTGATGAACCAAAATTGGAGAGATGAATTAAAGGGGAAGCTGAGACATCCAGAAGAGGTATGGCACGTGGAACTAGAACAATTTACCCCATTGGACGAAATAAAGGGCTCAGTTTGAAATACAAATCACCTAAAGCATACAATATCTGAAATGTTGTGAATATGACAATGAAGATGAGGATAACAGTTCGAATAATGTAAATAATGCAAGTAATTATAATAGCTCATCTCAGAGATATAGACAGATATATTATTTATATTTCTTAATATATATATATATTAAATAGCTCTGTTACTTAACACTGAGCACTGTTTTTCTTACACTATAGAGTATTTATATGTATTTGCATATGATCACTTACTCATATACCTATCTATATTTACCCATGCAGTTATATATATATATATATATGTGTGTGTGTGTGTGTGTGTGTGTGTGTGTGTATAAGAGAGAAATTGAGAGAGAATTACATCCCCAGATTCATGGATAGATGAGAGTGAGAAAGACACAATTGGAAAGTTAAAGCAGATAATTAAATCCTGAAAGATTGATTTTCTTTTTATATGTCATTGTAGATGAAATCAATTAACATTTGCTAGGCAACCAAAAACCTTGTGACTTCAAGAGCATCTTTTGTTGAAAGGGTTCTAAGGAACACACCAGATTTTGGTTGCTTGGCACTCATGTCAAAAGCCCCAGTCTTCTAAGTCGCGTATTTCAGTTGGGTGCACAGTCAAAGACTTGAACAAGGAGGCCTGGTTTCAAAAGGATCCCAGCACAACAGTTCCTCACCTCAGGCATGGAACTAATCCAGCAAATAGCCCAAGACTAAACTGCTTAAAGCGATCAGGCAAGTAGCTGAAGGAGCTCAGAAGCAAGCTAGTAAAATATCCTTTAAAAGGCAAGGGCAATGTGTTTTTGTGTACTTTAATGCCAAGGCCGCAATGGTGCCTGTGCTGACCTGGAGATGAGCCAACAAGCAGCAGAAAGTTTGCCAGAGGTGAGCCAATAAAGTTCCATTGCATCAACCGTATTTGATATACCGCCAAAGGCTAAAAAGGGAGAAGTTCTTTGGGTGATACCATTAACGAAATCTTTTGGTCAAGGATGCTGGAGATGTGCCAAAAATGGAATATAAACATGTAGGAATAAGAATTCTTATTTTTAGGAATGGAGAGTTTAAAAGATAAAATAGCCATTTTTGAAATTCCTGGTGAAATCTAAAGACAATGATAAAAAAGCAGATTGTAAGTTTCTTCATGCTATATATATATATATATATATATATATATATGTATATGTATATATATATATATGTGTGTGTGTGTGTGTGTGTATATATATATATATATATATATATATATATATATATATATACAAAAATCTATATCTATATATATATATACAAAATCTATATCTATATATATCTATATATATATATATAATATATATATATATATATATATATATATATATATATATATATATATATATAAATACATATCAAAAGTTTGAAGCCACCCCAGAATTAACAAGAGATGAGCTTGTCAGAAGAGTAACAAACGAAATTAAAAAAAGAGCTCTTAGAGTCATTGAAAAAAGAATGGAATCAATTATTAAACTATTATTTTAGGAAACTTTTGCAACAAATGCCAAAAATTTGTGCTGCAGTAATTAAGGCAAAATTTAAACATAAAATGCATTTCTTCATTTTGTCATAATAAAATTTCTAATAAAAATTATATCTCATTTTTTTAACCATCTATAATAATTTTCTCTTATTTAAAGTACAAAACAACTACTTTTTGGGGGCAATTTAAAAAATTACTGGGGATGCCCTAAAACATTTGAACTCAAATATATATGTTAAATAGTATATTTTAAAAATCTAATCTAATATATATATAATATATATATATATATATATATATATATATATATATAAAAACTCAAGTATAGGATTGGTGTATATGGAATAAATTCCAATAGCCAAAAAATACTATTCTAAAAAATATAATTATTTATTCGAAAATTATAACATAATATGTTATAAAATCACTACAAAGTACCCATTTTTGTTTCAACACTTCTGGTGTCTTATCAAGTGATGGTGTTGAATGACATTCAACACTATATGGCTATTTTTAGTGATTTTATGACATATTTATGTTATAATATGTTATAATATTTGAATAAATAATTATATATATATATATATATATATATATATATATATATATATATATATATATATATATATATATAAAAGTGAATATAGAAGTCAACACTTAGAGGCGACAGTCTGTTTCATGCTATATGTAATCGTCCAGCCCACCGATTGCATAGCATGAAACTGACTGTCGCCTGCTAAGTGTTGACTTTATGTTCATTTTATATTTACACGCTCTATCTCTGATATTGAGCACTTTATTCCATAAATATAGTATATCTTAAGACTATATTTCTTTATATATATATATATATATATATATATATATATATATATATATAAGAATGTATTTTTTATTAACCAACAATTTAAATGCTACGTTTAGTGGATTGTATTGCATTGTGACTAGTCTATTGTATTATTCTAATGGTTATTTTGGTGGGTGGTAATAGATTTGTTTTGGATTATTCTAGAAGTTATTGAGTGGGAATAATTGTGGATCATAATGCAGCTTTTTGTCAGTTTATCAAATTTATTATTGATTATTTTATTGTTAGTTGTTATTACTATATTTTCTTGTATTATATATATATATATATATATATATATATATATATATATAAAATTTTGGATAAGGTTATGATGCAAAGGTGAATATAAGATTTACAAAACTTCTACTTTCACATGTTTCACAAATGAAAAAAAAAGAGAGAGAGAGATGAAATGACACAGTTAAAATGAAAATTACAACCTCAATCTAAGAACAAACAACAGTGTCTAGTACCTTGATATAAGTTGTGTCATTAATTATGCAGGACTATAAAAAGAGGTGGGGATCACATAACATGAACCACATTGCTCAAAATGCCTACAGCCTTGAAAGGTGTTGCTAACTTGGTGTGCATTACTCTTGGTAACTCCGTGAGTCTTTGCAGATGCCAAATGCTGTTCGGTCTGTCCACTTGGTCATGTTAAGGAGGCTGGCCATATCTGAACTTCTTTGGTTGGTAGGTCGTGGCACATGCATGGCATGACTTTTCATTTTGTGTGTGCAATTGGAAGTTGTCATTTTAATGCTCTCAGTCTGTCTGAGAGAGAAATGAGAATGCCAAAATTTGGCACATGCCATCTAACATTATATTTGGTTGTCTTTCATTTATAGTCCACTAAAGGTGTGTTCTCAAATATCTAGTGTACCATATATATATATATATATATATATATATATATATATACATACTACCGACCAAAAGTTAGGAACCATATTGATTTTTTTTTCCTGTAAACTTAATAAACAAATCAAGTTTCATGTCTTTAAAGAAATAAATTTATTTTTCTATGTTTGCATGTAGTTATGCAATAATTTAAATCAAAATGATCTTTTACTGCTAAGATTTGTGTTGGTTTCTGCATGTCACTTCAGGCAATAATGCACCCCATTTTTTGATATCTGTAATTTTTAAGCAATCTCATGTTCGGAATACCTTTTTATAGAAAGAATTTCCATTTGGACTCTTTTTTCAATGCTAATCTGTTTAGTTCTTGGCATTTTAATTGTTTTTGAAAATCTAGATGAAATTGAACCTCTACCAAGCAGTGGTGTTGAAATATTTGTAAAATATTGTTCTACAGTTCACAAACGGTATCAGGTTGTCACAAAATGTTCAAAGCTTATGAAAATAAATTTTTAATGCTTGTAGAAAAAATTGTTTGAATTTTATATAAGGGTTTGTATATATACATGGTGGTGGAGTAATGGATAGTGGCTTGGATTGAGGAATCAGAGAGCCAAGTTTAAATTCCAGTTGAATAAATTACATTCACTTATATATAGGCATTATGACTTATATATAGGCATTATGACTTATATATAGGCATTATGACTTATATATAGACATTATGACTTATATATAGGCATTATGACTTATATATAGGCATTATGACTTATATATAGGCATTATGACTTATATATAGGCATTATGACATATATAGGCATTATGACTTATATATAGGCATTATGACTTATATATAGGCATTATGACTTATATATAGACATTATGACTTATATATAGGCATTATGACTTATATATAGGCATTATGACATATATAGGCATTATGACTTATATATAGGCATTATGACATATATAGGCATTATGACTTATATATAGGCATTATGACTTATATATAGGCATTATGACTAAGGTATTTATTAGTGTGAATTCTCTGTGTTTGCTTGAGCTTTAGAGTAAACTTGAACAATGGAATGGTAAATATATGAGACTATTTGAAAAAAATCATGACAAAATCAGAACAAAATATCTATCTATCTATCTATCTATCTAAGCTTACTCATATCTATCTATCAATCCAAATTTATTCATATCTATATATCCAAGTATATTCATATCTATCTATCTATCTATCTATCTATCTATCTATTTTGGTCTGCTCCTATCTATCAATGTATCTATCTGACTCATTCTGTTTTTATCTATCTATCTATCTATCTATCTATCTGTATGTCTCATTCTGTTCTTATCTATCTAACTCATTTTGTTCCTATCTATCTATCTATCGGAAGAACAACACGAACACAAGAGTAGAAATAATGGAGGTATATTACACAAAATAATAATACAAGATGTGGAAGGTGTTAGTATGACTGTCAGTCTGGTTTGGAGTGAACTACTATTGGCTTGACTCGATTCGTCCCTCTCTCTTAAGAGTTGTAGTATACATAGTGTTAGGAAGAGTTCATTCTGTAGTT